TTTGGGCTCTAGCGGCGTCTAGAGATTTGGGAGAGATCGATCCTCCTCTCGAATTGAGGATCAATTGTATCTTTGCTATTTTATTCATCGACGAGTGGAATACAGTCTTTTCTTGAGTTTTCTCTCGTATTTTCCCGAACAAGTGCTGTTTTCCTGCTGTAAACAGCAGAAATCTGCTGTTTTTCCTGCTGTGGACAGCCATTTGGCTGCTGTTGGTTCGCCGATTTTGGATAGGTTGCTTGTGAATACAAGCACTTCCTATCAAAATCACAACGAATATCTTCATTACTGTTTAAATTTATCTGCAAATCAAAATCACATAACTTATTGCCATTTAAATATAACAAAAATTTCACGTCCAATTTTTAGGCCCATTCGGATCAAAATTGGGCTAGGAAATCCTTTTTTTTTTCAAAAAGAATCTCATAATCAAACCTGTAGCCTTCTTTTATGGTATCATGGTCAGTTTTGACGGGAAATGACTTGTCTGAATCCTTTGCATCCCCATAGAATTGAACTGCAATGGACAGATAACTTGAAATCAGAAAGAATTAAAACCTTCAAGATAAACACTTCTTTAGGAGATATAAGTTATTGATTTCAGGATGGGGATAGAAGAACCTCTCAAATGAGCACGACACAAACTGTTAATAAAAGTATTGCTAGGAACATTAAAGTGGTCCCTTTTACAACAGTTCAATGCATATTAAATATATCACGTATATAAATACACACATGAACTCTCAGTCTCCCACGAAACAAATAATGCAAGGCAAACTACCAGTGGTTATCTTGGTGCAGAACCAAGGTCCGTTGATTGTATCAAAAGAAGGATATCATAATCACATAATTGCATCGATCTCAGTAGGATAAAGCTAAAAAATAACAAATTAAAGCTAATATAGGATTCACATCAACCAATTTGTAAATTAAAAAACAATGGATTTAATTACACATCACATATTTTTGACAAAAAGTGATATTTCCTTAGTTGACAATATCTTCAAGTAATACTGTTCAATTTGCACAATCAATTCCCTGCCAAATTGGCTAAAACAAGTGCAACAATTGCCCCAACCCATCAAGGATGTCCCTTTGATGCTCAAGAAAAATCAATTTTCTCCCAAATGAAGACCAAAGTGGGGACTAAGGATTGAAAGCAAAGAAACAGCATTAAGACAAGGTATAAAATCGCGAATCTATATTCATAAAAGAAGACTTCATCTAGTTTAAGATTGCCAGAAAAGTAGGTTGTAATTTCCGTCTTAGGTGAGGTCTTCATCTTTAAGTAACGTATTTCCTTACCTTATAAAATGCCTAAATTAATCAACATTTCTAGAACTCCTTTATATTTCTATAAAAATTTGAAAGATCTCCTTTTCTCCCTCACAAGAAATTAGTCTCCTCTGCATATCAACAAGAATTTTAGCTCCAGTTTTGCTTGTAACCCTATTCACAAATTTCGTGGCTTATAAAATTATATACATCAATGGTATTTGCTGTCATTTTTAAAAGGTCATTATTTTCTTTAATAGCATTATGTATCTCATTATTCCACCATCAAGTTTCTTTAAATGAATTTCTAGACGCTAGTAAAACTTCTATGCACTGGTCTAATCAACTTTCATTCCAATTTGCTCAAAATGTTGCCTCCTTGAACAACTAATTATGCAAGTAATTTCATATTGCATGCTTACATGTTTCACCATCTTATCTTAGGTGATGTAAGGGAGTCTTAAGTTTAGTTTTTTTTAATGCAACTCTATCTTCACGCAACAGCCATGCAAAACTTGAAGGTCACAACTCTTAATTTCAAGATTTATCAAGAAGATATGATGAAAACCGAAATATGAAGTATTTCAAGATAATTCAATAGTTTTTACTATAAACATTTAGAAATGTAGAAATTTGGAACCACGAAAAACCATTCAACACGCTCAAAATCAAGCATCATAGAATCAATATTGTAAAAAATTTGAAAAAATCAATCATGCATTCAAATTAGAAACAAGATTTAAGGACGGGGAAGAATAATAGAAACAACCAAATCAAAATAATAAAACCTCACAGTCTCACACTAAGAGGGAATAACATGTCCAAATATAACTTCATTCAAACTTGATTTTTTATCCAATTAGCCAAAATTATTTATAGTATAATTTCTTCCAACGTTTTCCAATTAAAAAAAAAAAGCCCAAAGTCAACAAATCTGCACAAAAGAAACAAGGATCCAACACAAACCCATCAAAACCTGCTGAAAAATGAATATAATTTCTTCCAACATTTTCCAATTAAAAAAAATTATCCCAAGGTTAACAAATCCGTTTACAACACAAACCCGTCAAAACCTGCTGAAAAATGATTACTACATGCTTAGCATAACCCTTTAATTAATTTGCTTTTGCCACATATGAATAAGTCAAGGGCCACAGAAGCCAAAAGCCAACACTAAATTAATATAACCATCATCATCATTATCAGTCAACAATTTGGATTGGCTTTATGAATGCTCATCTTTCATTTGTTCTCAATTCTCATCGAGGGTCACAATAAGTGTTAAATCTCTACTTGCAAATGTTTTTCAATAAATTTGGTCCATGATACCTTAACTCTACCCAATTTTCTTCCTAATAGTTTGGCATTAATCTTATTTAAACATCTAATGGGTGCATTTTCTACCCTTCATTGTGCATGTCCAAAGCACATAAATTCTTTTTCCAATGCGATATTTTCAATCAATGCTCTCATCATCCCCCAAATAGATCATTTCTCAAGTTATCAATTCTAAAATTTTCACACATTCTCTTGTCATTCCATTTCAATCACACAAAACTTAGATTAATGACTATTTTTGATGGGGACATCAGCAGCAATTTCGACACATGTACCTTCAGGAGATGCCGGAGATCGACGGCCACGATCATGATTTGTTTTTTTTCATCATTTTATGTAGTAGTTTATTTTTATTTTATGTTTTTCCATTTTTACCCTTATGGGTATTTGGTAGCTATTGTAGCCCAAGGGGCATTTTAGTACTTTACTTTTTTGTCTTTTTGAGGCCTATTTATATGGTCCTTTTCTCATGTAAGAGTTAGTTTTTGATGAATGAAAATTTTGACATTTCATGTTCTCTTCGTGAGTGCAAAACCTCCACGATCTCTTAGTGAGTTCGTAGGAGAAGCTAGATCTCTTTGTGAGTTCTAGGTTCTATTGTTCTTCCATTTCTCTTCTTTGAAATTTCTTGATCTCGTCGTCATCACGGTGGTTCGGGTGAAAGCATTTGTGGAGATTGGAATTCACTCTTTGGATCCCTAGATTCTCCCTACTTCTTCCCCTCCCTTGCTCTTTGCCGCCGCCCCCTCCCCTTGAGCCGCCCAGGCCGCCGGCCTGCAAACCCCACCAGCCGGCCAGCAGCCAGCCAACAGAAATTTCAATCCAGATTTCTTATTAAATCTGCTGTAATTGTGGGCCCCATTTTATTTAATACCCAGCCCCCCTCTCTCCCCCATATGGCCGGCCACCTCACCATTATTGCCTCTCTCTAATTGCCACCTCATTACCATTTAAACACCTCTTAATTACCTCCCCTCTCCACGTAATTACAGTTTTTTTATTTCAGATTTCTAATCTGAAATTTGAAATCAATTATTCCCTCTCACCTCCACCTCCCCAAGTCCCGCCCAAGGTCCAAATTGCCTCTGTCCTGACGTTTGGCTTGCTGCCTCCTCACGCCAGCAGGAATATCTTGCTGTCCAGCACACTGGATGACCACAATTTGATGTCCCGAGTTTCCAGCAGCCTAGAAGAGCCGTCCAACGTCTCTTGCACCTTAAAGGTTGCTGTCCAAGATCTGTCCAAGGCCAAACTGCTGCTGTCCAGAGAAATTCGGCATCTCTTCCTGCTATCCAGCCAGTCGGAAGAGCTTCGGATGCGGTCCTAAAGTTTCCGAGTGCTGTCCACCACATCAAGAAGGGTTTTGGTTGCCGTCTACTTCATCTCAAGCATTCAAACAGCCACTAAAGCTTCATGTCTTCTATTTCTTTGGGTAAACTCATCATCCGACCCTTTTATCTTTGTAGTTACTTCTCTATTGTTGTGATATCTTGATTCATGGAAATCATGCTAATCTTCTCCGCTAAAACCTAGTAATTGGATGAGTTGTGTGAGGGATCTTCTCAGAACAACTAATCTTATTGTTAGTTTAGGGATATTTGTGGAAAACCATTCATGTACGCAACGTTAGATTGACTTGATTGTTATATGATCTTAACTCTTACCCGTGTGATTCAACCGTAAGCTCGTTTTTCCGTTCTTAATGTTTTATCTCGTCGTTCAAATTATTATAAAAATATAATTATTTGTTCTATCTAAAATTAAGCGTGCAAGCTTTCATTACGAAACTCATCATCGCATGTACGTTTCACATCAATTTTACTACCAACGCTCAAATCCACGTACATCTAATTGTGTGTCATATACTTATTATTTGGATATATCGCATCAAATTGTCCATATGGACATGTTGTATCTTTAGTTGAAGAGGGCCCCACCTAAAGAAGAAAATGAACTAGAAGACACTCCTAGTGATGATGATCAACTAATGTATGTGGATGATGAAGAATTTCTTGTGATTGAAGGGTTTTTAGCACTGCTATATATCCAGAGTTAGATTGGCTTCAACACATCTTTCATGCTAGATGCACAGCACAAGGGAAAGTGTGCAATATGATAATCGATGGGGGAAGTTATAAGAATGTTGTCTCTAATCATATGGTGAAAAAAAAACATTCCTACACAAGAGCACCCTACACCTTAAAACTTAACTTGGCTTCATAAAGGAAAAAAAAAATAAAAGCGACAAAGCAATGTTTAGTGCAAGTTTCTATATGCAAAAAATTACAAGAGGAGGTTTGGTGTGATGTTATTCCTATGGATGCCTGCCACCAACTTTAACTATGATCGTGACAATAAGATAAGCATACTATTTATGACAGTTACAAGAACACTTAAACTTTAAAATGCATAAGTAACAAAGTGGTTTGGATGCCAATAAAATATAATATTAAGGAAATGATGGAATTGATAATATAAAATTTAAATCTATCTTCTTAAAAGCAATGCAAGAGCCCCATCCATGGATGCTCTCGTAAATATAGAAGAAAATCAAGATGATGATTGTATAGCAAATAGTATTTAGACTTTATTACAATCAGACCATGACTTGTTTTCATACAAAGTATAAGCATACACAGTGGATTGAATTATTTCAACATTATAATAGAAATTAAAACACAAATCTAGTGTCCAAAATAGAATTTTTTTATATCTTTAGTCAAAGATAACCATTCTTTAAAACACTTTGGTCGAAGTTGGTTGAATTCTAGATAATCAAAAGAGCCTGTATCAACAAACGAGAATTTTGCATGAAGTAATTACCCAACCAAAACATTCAACATTGCAATGCTTTCACCGTACTATGAAAAAGATAATATTTAATACATCAAGGACGAGTCTTCTTCAACTCGAGTAGAATGACATATATAATTATAAGAGTGTCATTTCTATTAAAAAATTTTACTTAGATGACATTTCTAACTTATTTCCTTATTAAGGCCTACTTTAGTAACTAGGGGACTAAGAGTTATAAATTGCTTTCCTATATGTTAGGAAGGGGAAGTTTTTGGAGATTCAAGTTCAGGTTATCCTAGTAGAGAAGGAATTTCCTACCCATGGGGTGGATTTCACTTACTCTAGGTGAAGTGAGGAGAAGAGGGAACCATAGTGGGCTCCAAAGATTGGTTGCCAAGGTTTCCTAACCTACCCTAGTGATTACTGGTGTTCCCTTTTAGGGAGTTTCCAACCGGCAAAATTCTAAAAGGCCATCCAAGTATTGCTACAGTTTGTTCCAGGCCAGACCCAAGCCCTTGAGAGCATCCTACTATCTTCCTAGCCCTCTTGCACTGAAGTTAGACATTGTTCCACGGAGGAATCAAACCAGTAAAGACATATGGCTATTTTTCCTAGCAGTTTGCCTTGAATTCAGCAGGCTGTAATCTAATTTTTTAAAAGAATTGCACTAGAATCCGCCTGGAAAGCAAGTTCTTGAATCCAAAAAATAAATCAGCCAGTTAATCCAGAATTTAGTGGTTCAAGAATAACCTAAACCAGCTTGATAGAATCTTTGAATATCTTAAAGAATGGATATTCTACACCCGGGATTCTCATATTTTTGCTTCAAGAATAGCCTAAATAAGGTTCTCTGATTAACTAACAATTTTCTGTAATTAATTCTATTAAGTTGATGCCATAATCTACCTACTTTTTGTTAAATTACAACTGCGGTTGAATAGTAATCAGACAACCCATTGCTGTTCAGCCATTTGTAAAGGCCTATCAGCCAATTTTCTGCAAGATTATTACGTGGGAAGCTCTCTGGATTCCTGAAAACAGCGGCCTGTTGGATTGAGGGAAACAGCAACCTAAAAGAAATGGGTTTGGACTAGAATTAATAAGTTGGCATAGTTGGAAATCCTGAGTTTGTTGCAATTTTTGCATCCAATGTTTCATTTCGGTTTGGGTATAGAAGCATATTATCTTGTCTAACCTCTGTTCATTGGGTAGTTGGCTGTTAGTATTATTGAGTATAATTAATTGTAATTCTAATCAACTTTTTTCTCAATGTCGTCCTGTTCAACAAATCTTAAGTTATTTGTCTTCTAAACCTATTTTTTATATTTTTATCTTTTCACTTACTTCGATAGAGGTCGTGTATGTTGGAACTTGCATGTAAAAGCATACAACAAGGTACCTCGCTTAGAATATTCTTAAACAACTCAATGAACAAGACATAATGATTATCATTAATGTAATCCTATTGTGATTGGGAACTACATGCTGAGTCCACAACTATGGCTAATACTATTCACTGCTATGTTATACTTTTCATTAATAATTTCAAAATATCTTTTTTTTTTCATATTATGCACCAATTCAATTTTCGAGATACTTGATTATAGAACTTTAAGATCAATAAAATTCACAAGGAGATCCATTCTTTGTTACATATGCTTATCCATCAATTGTCTTATTGCAAAATGCACCTCTATAGTGAATCTTTCTAGCACAAATTGAATTGATTTTCTGGCACTAACATAATTTTCAAAGTCTATGTTCTATTTTTCTATCACATAACTTTATTGTACGAATCATAAGTTAGCTTATCTATGATTATAAAATCCTAAACATCTCTATTTTCTTAAATATTAATCCCAAAATACCTTTCCTCCAACCAATCAGTATTCACTTAGCCTAGAAAATTTAATTGAGAAGGCTCATTGACTAAATCTCAATACCATCACTCATAACTCTTAATATCACAATAGATATCTTATATGCACTTAAAACTTAAGTCATGTATTTTCTTCATAACTAGCCACACCTGTTAATCACTCCATAATACATGTCACTACATTGTTAACTTTAGTCTTCCAAAAAATTCTTCCTCAATACTCAAATTTAATAACCTCTCAAAGTAGCATCATTCTATCTTGATGCCTTCACTTTTAATAAAGTTTTCATTATCTTCATTTTTAATGCATCTAACTTGATCAAAACTTTTAGATATATTACCCATATCTCTTGCCATAGAAACTTTATGTATCTCCTTTTTTCCTTCCATATCACCGAGTTTAATATATAAATCATTAAAAGTTAAAATTTCTACTTTTCTTACTAACCTCTTTTCGACATTTCTACTTTCCTTATAAGTATTATAAACCTTAATAGCTTTTTATTCAAGCACTTTACCACTAAGTTTCCTTATAAATGCAAGATCAAATCTTAAACTCTCTCAAAAATTTCAATGATAAACTTCTAAAATGAAAATATCTTACCCCGAATCAAGTTTTTCTCAACTAGAGAATTTCAATTTAACATGTATAACAAATTATATGGAACAATTAATAAATTTACTTAAAAGATTAACTTCTCACATTTCAAGTTGCATGACTTAGGGTAGTTATTTCTTTGGATCATTTATTTAAACTCATGTGATACACATCCATAACTTCTACCACATCTTGTATAGACAATCTTTCTCCTAAAACCTTCTTGCACTCTTTGAAATAAGATTTTTCTTTCCTTCCGATTAATATATATGATTTGGTGGCTCCGGCTTAAAAGAAACTGCTCATCTCATTACAAGAAGAGTTCATAATTACTAAATTATCTACTGCTCTAATTCCATCACTCTTGTTTTATTTCTACAATAATTAGGCGAAGTTATCATGGCACTTGTGGGTGATGCCATAGAATCTAAAGTAATGGAAAACTTAAATATTTTGAAATTCAAATTAGATACAATCAATAAGCATTGTAGAGGAAATGTTAAATAAATTAAATAACAAACAGCTCTCTCGAAACAATGTATAGATGCATGTAGCCTCCAACACTAACTTCAATGATGGAGACTGTTCATCATCTTTTTGCTATAGGGCATTTGGATAGAGCAAATAAATAGCTCAATATTTGCAATCTTCCTGAATGTCCACTAATATGCAAAGAATTAACTCAAATTTTACTTCCACCCAAAAAAATCCCTTCACATATAGTAATAGGTGACCCCATTCATAAATTATGCAAAGGATAACACATAGGAAAATAGCACATAGTAATAGGTGAACCAGGCAATGACACTTTACACATTATATGGTTGCCACATTACACACTTGTTTTGAATTTGAATTAAACCACAACTAAAAGCTAACAATCACATCATGAATAAGATTATTTTTTATTTGAGTTCAACTCCAAACACATTTACAAGCTAACTTTCACACTGCACGTTATTATTTTTAAATTTGAATATAGTTACTTTAACTGATATATAATTATCATATCATGTATGATGTTATGCTTCAATTTGAACAAAAATTGAAAATTAAAACTATAGTATATCTATCAAATCCTGCGTCTTAAATATTTTATTCAATCACAAATTACATATATACTCATAATATTAATTACAAAATTTAATTAAATTTTTACTCATTTTTAATATAAATTTGTTCACTCAAGCTTTTAATCACCTTAACACAAGCCAAGGCCTTATAATAACGACATGAGGCCCTAGCAACATAAGGGTATTGACTAGTATAGGCATAAAATAACCATCGATGGATTGAATTTGATATAATGAGAGTACATATGCTTTTTATCATTTAATTTTGTCTCTATTTCTACCCAAGAAATATGGCATTAGTTATAATTACCATGATTAATTCAATTTAATTGAACAGGAAGTAGCATCAATAATATTTGAAGTATATAAGACAACAAAAAAGGGACAAGGATCATCCAAAAATTTTACCATTTTACCAAAGGTCCAGTTGATATTAACTCTTCTAATCATTTGGCATATCCTAAATAGTGTGCAACTTTATAGTTTATTGAATTTTGAAACCCAACCCAATGGTGTTTATGAGAAATTTAAAACTCACAGGATTAGATAGATAAGGATGCATACCAAAGAATGAAGGATAGAAATCAAAATGATTAATAATATCAAATAAAATCATTTCCAAACTTCATCAGCATTATCCCAACTATTTTGTAGCTAGCTTTAAATAATGGCCAATGTAAACCTTAAAATAAAAATGTGATGGAAACTCCGATTTACCTAAATCTTTGTAAACATATGTTAACCATATTCTTAGCCTAAACCTTATTCTTCCTATTCACTTCACTTTTTTTTTTCAAACTCCCCACATTTTTGGTGCTTCTATTTCTACCATTTTACAAGCAAAAACAACCACAATTGATTTCCACAACCTTATCAACGATAGTTGTTATCCCAATATGTGCACTTTCTCCTTTTTAACTTGTTCGCATCTGCCTTTCTCTTTGTTGTCTTACTTGTTTGCCGCATCATTCTTTCCCATTACTCAAAATTACAAATCAAGTACTTGCATTATTTATGAGGAGATGGCTACTAAATTCAGTTGGTAATGCCACATTTAATTCTAAGATCAATCCAAGCAACATCACAAGTACAGTTATTTTTCAAAAATATATTATTAGTTTGGAAGGCTCAACTTACACGTTATCATCTTATCAATATCCTGATCCAGTCAACAAGAAAATAGTATTCATTTCATAAACTAAAAGGGAAACATTGGCCACAAAAAGGTACTCGTCATTGTCAGTATACTAATCGCACTTTATTCTTGATTTTTTATGGCATTTCAAATTCATCCTTTCTCGAAACCATCCTTTCAAACATGAAAATAAACCATTTTTAACATCTAAGGACACATGAACACAACATAGAGACCAAAAATATGCGAGAATTATTAATGTATCTAGTTAAGGAGTACTGGAAAGTAGAGAAAATCATAAAAAGAACCAGCGAGTGCGGCATACCGTAGTCTTTCATGAATCTTTTATGTCGATCGTAAGCATTAAGCCCTCGGATATGAGATTGGTATTGCCTGCAACCAGTAACAATAATTCCCTTTTGCGGAAAGAGAATCAAATACACAATCAACGAGCAGAACAGCTAGAACTTACATTTTTCTTTCCTCCCTTTCGAATACAGCCGACTTTAGTGAACCAAGAGACGCCATTCTCGTCTTCCTCCACCTCCAAAACCCTAGAGTACTCCTAAAACAGATTTTTAGTGCCGGGAGGCTGAATTGAATAATGTAATAAATATTATATTACTTTAATATGATTTAAATAATATAATAATTATATAATGATAATATTTTTTATCATATAATATTTTAAATCAAAATTTAGAGATTTTTTTTTTTGAATATTTTTACAATACACATAATTATATATTTATATAAAGATTCTATTTAAAAAAATTTGGAGTTTAAAAGTAAGATGTGTTGATTTAGTAGTGTTTTTAAAATAAATTTTTTAGTCAAAAATTGTTTATTAGGAAAATGAGATTATTGATCCTTAAGTTATTTTGATATGCATATAGTTTCCTAATTATCTTATATATTTGGAATATATTAAAAAAGAATAAGAGAATAAGTAGAATCAATGATTTAACTCTATTTCTATCTTCTAGAAAGTGTTTTACCTTTCAAAAAATAAAAATTAAAAAAACTTTGGAAAGATTTTTGAATAATTAAAAATGTTGCTTTGATAGGTTATCTCAAGTATTTGAGATGGTTCTTTGTTGAATGCTTAGAAAGGCAAGATCACTCTTTGAGGAGGAATGTGCTCTCTCTTTGGGCTAATCGATCTTATCAATAGCGGCGAGCCCACCGATTTTCATTATGTTCGTGCAATTTGGTGGTGTGAATAATTAATTTCAACGACTGTGATCTCTTTCCACTAAATTTGCAATTACATCATCGACCTATGCTCTTTTACCCTCTTTTTTCTTATTCATTTAATTATCTAGTGATTAGGATCTCCTTCCTCCTTCCTCTTCTTCACCGGCTTCTCTCTTTTTCTTTATTCTTTTGTTGTAATATTTGTTCTCGCAAGCAATATCTCGATTCACTAATTATGTTATTACTATTTCATAATAGGTTTTGCGAGTGATGATTTTGATACAAATAAAAGCTATGCATATGTCAAAGGATCAACGCATTTAACATGAGTGACAGTTGGATATATGTTGTAACACCTATGTTTAATTTTGATAGAATTGTTTATTTATTTGTTAATTAGTCTACAAGAGCTACTCATCTGTTTTAATTAATATAATCATCAGCTGAAGTAAATTATAAATCATACTCTTCAAAATACCTATCTATATTCATTTCTCAAAACTCATTTATAATAGTTAAGAAATCAATAACTATATCAGTCTATCTTTCTACTCCTGACTATAAAAATAAAACAAATATGAATAATAAAATAAAACTCGAATATTTGATCTATTTCACTCTATTGGGTCATAAGCTCTTCCTGAAAATATATAAAAATCATAGAATGAGTGAATAGCTCAATAAGTTACTAAAATCTATAACTACAATCAATATAAGATAATGGAAACAATATACATGTAATCATTAAATTAACATAAGTATAAACATATAACTATAAAAGTAAGTAGCATTCAATGTGAACAATATCATATAATATGGGCAATGTTTACTCTACTCAGCATATAGCAAACAGTATTCATTATTTATGTCTAAAAATATCTCTCGAGGGTATCCTCTACCAACATGGCCTTAGCTACCTCCACTAGTGTCTTATTTTTTCTTCCAGCTATATCATTTTGTTGTGAGGTCCTAAGGGCAAAAAAAATTATGATCAATCTCAAACCCTTTGCAAAATAATTCAAATCTTTCATTTTCAAACTCTTCATTATGATCACTATGAATTATAGATATCAAAGAATCTAGCTTACTCTAAATCTAAGTGGAGAAAATCTTAAACTCATCGAATGACGCACTCTTATGTGTTAAGAATCTAACTCCAGTGAATCTAGAAAAGTCATCTGCAATCACAAATCCAAAGCTCTTAACACCTAGACTGGCTATACTAACGTATGGGGCCAAATTAATCCATGTATAAGATCTCTAATGGTCTAGTGGTAGTAATATCCTTAATAGAATGAAAGGATGACCATATTTACTTTCCTAATTGATAGTCATCACACATATGATCCTTAGAAAAATCTAGCTCGGGAATGCTTCTAACTTGGTCCTGCAAGATAATCTTCTTAAGAGCTTTCATACTAGCATGACATAATCGCCTATGTCATAGCCACAAATCATCCATAATAGTTTTCAAGTAACAGAAATTATCATAAATATCAATGCAAGCAAGTTCAAACATATAAACATTATTAATTCTCTTACCTTCTAGAATCATCTTTCTATTTAAAATAATTGAACACTTATTTGAAAGAAATTTAGCACTAAAGCTCTTATCACAGAATTGACTAATCATAAGTAAACTATGCTTCAATTATTTTACTAAAAAAATATTTTCAATAAAAAAATAATTTGTTTTGCTAATTATACCTAAGCCAGCCACTTTTCTAATAGTGTTGTCTCCTAAAGTTACTTGCCTATGCTCCTAGTCTCATGCATAATGAACTGCTAAGTCTCCAATCACATGTCTTGAGCAGTTATTGTCCAGGTACCATATATTCTCACTATCCTTATTGTGAGAGCATCCCTACAAAGTCAATCAAAGGTTAGATTTGGGATCTCATGTGAGTTTAGATTCCATCTTATGCTTCAATGAATGAATGTTATGCATGATATGTTGTGATGAACTTTTGGTGTATAATGCATATTTGTGCTACGTGTCTTAACATGTCACAAGAGTAACACCTAACCCCTAGAAATGAGTTCACTAATTTATGTGGGGATTGTGCCTCTTTCTAGGAATATATGGTCCATGATGTGTCCTAGCTGTGGTTTTAGTAAAAGTGTAGGCCTTGGTGTTATTTTATAGTGATTTTATTTTTTTCTTATAAATAATCATTCACACTTTTATAACTAGCCACTTTTAAATTTCAATGCATCCTCACTAGAATCTAACTCTATTACAAGTGGCTCTAGTTCCTTAAATGCTTCCTCTATCTCAATATGCGCACTTTTTAAGGAACTATGTGACTTTATTAATGCAATGTACTTCTAATTTAAATCATCAAATTCATCTAGTATAGATGCATGTTCCTTGTCTAATGTGATATGTTCAGCTTTGAAAGTTGAATGCTCATTAAGTAAATTAGCAAGCTCTTCTTTCAAAATTAAAAATTCCTTTTCAAAACGATATGTTGCTTTTTCAATTATTTATGAGTCATGAATTTTCTTAGAAATAGTGTGATGCCCCAAGATCTAACTTGGACAGAATGTCAATCAATTCCCAAACAATTTACCAGAGTTATCTAAAACCTTCAATTAAACAGTCTACCAAACATCTATGAAATTTAAAACATCAATATACAAGTCGATCTATAACTCAAAAGGTCATGTACAATACTCAGAAACTACACTACAATCATCAGTTCTGAAATCTATCCTGAGTACAAAAGAATTAAAATCAATCAAAAGACAAAA